AAAAAAAAGAAAAACCCCCCCAAAAAAAAAAAAAAAAAAAAAAAAAGCTTCTAACAAATAATAGCTCAGGACCAGATGGATTTGCTGCTGAATTCTACCAAACATATAAAGAAGAAATAATAGTAATCTTCCTTAAACTACTTCAAAAAATTCAAGAGGAAGGAATTCTCTCTAACTCATTCTATGAGGTCAGCATTAGCTTAATGCCAAAACAAGATAAGGACACAATAAAAAAAGAAAACCATAGACCAATATCTCTGAAGAATATACATGCAAAAATGCTCAAAAAAATACTAGCAAATAGAATTCAACAGTGCATCACAAAGATAATACAGCATGATTAAATTTAATATCAACCATGCAAAGAAAGTTTAACATATACAAATCAATAAAGGTAATGCATCATATAAACAGGATGAAGGACAAAAACTATGTAATCATCACAATAGATGTAGAAAAAGTATTTGATACAATACAACACCTTTCATGATTAAAAACTCTCAACAAACTAGGCACAGACAGAACATACTGCAAAATAATAAAGACCACATATGACAAACCCATAGTTAACATCGTACTGACTGGGGAAAGTGCAAGGCCTTTTCTCTATGAACTAGGGCAAGACAAGGATGCCCATTTTCACTACTCTTATTCAACATAGTATTGGAAGTCCTGGCCACAGCAAGGGCAGGAGAAAGAAGCAAATGGCATACACATTGAAATAGAGGAAGTCGAATTGTCTCTGTTTGCGGTTGACATAATCTTATATTTAGAAATATCAAAAGACTCCACATGGCTCACGCCTGTAATCCCAGCACTTTAGGAGGCCAAGACGGGCAGATCACGAGGTCAAGAGATCGAGACTATCCTGGCCAACATAGTGAAACCCCATCTTTACTAAAAATACAAAAATTAGCTGGGCATGGTGGCGAACGCCTGTAGTCCCAGCTACTCGGGAGGCTGAGGCAGGAGAATTGCTTGAACGCAAGAGGCGGAGGTTGCAGTGAGCTGAGACTGTGCCACTGCACTCCAGCCTGGCTGTCGACAGAGCAAGACTCTATCTCAAAAAAAAAAAAAAAAAAAAAAAAAAAAAACCCAAAACAAACAAGCAAAAAAAACCGCTTAGAGCTGATAAATTCAGTAAAGTTTCAGAATACAATATTAACATATAAAAATCAATAGCATTTCTGTACACCAATAACAAAATAGCTGAAAAAGAAATCAAGAAAGCAATTCAATTTACAGTAGCTACAAAAAATACATAGGAATAAATTTAACCAGGGAGGTGAAAGATCTCTGCAAGGAAAACTACAGAACACTGATGAAAGCAACACAAATAAATGGAGAGACTTCTCATGCTCAAGGATCAGAAAAAATAACAATGTTTAAAATGACCATAATGTCCAAAACAACATGTAGAGTCGATGCAATCTCTATTAAATGTCAACATCATTTTTCACAGATATAAAAAATTCCTAAAATTTGTAGGAAACAAACAAACAAAAAAACAACCCAGAATAGCCACAGCAATCCTGAGCTAAAAGAACAAAGATGGAAGCATCAAACTACCTGACAAAATTATATCACAGGGTTGTAGTAACCAAAACAGCATGGTGTCTGCATAAAAATAGATACTTAGCTCAATGGGGAACAGAATAAACAACTCATCGCTTCTCGGCCTTTTGGCTAAGATCAAGTGCAGAATAAACAACTCAAAAATAAATCTACATATTTATAGCTAACTGATTTTTGACAAAGGAGCCAAGAACATATACGGGGGAAGGGATTCAATAAATGGTACAGGGAAAACTGGATATCCATATGCAGAAGAATAAAACTGGACTCCTTTCCCTCACTGTATACAAAAATCAACTCTAGTGGATTAAGAACTTAAACATAAGATACTAAATTATAAAACCATTAGAAGAAAACATAGGGAAAACACTTAAGGACATCAGTCTAGGCAAAGATTTTATGGGTTATGGCCTCAAAATCTAAAAGAAAAATAAACAAACGGGACTATATTAAAATAAAAATCTTTGTACAGGAAACAAAACCACCAAGAGTGAAGAGACAACCACTGAATGGGAGAAGATATTTGCAAACTATTCATCTAACAAAAGACTAATTTCCAGAATATACATGAAATGGAACAGCTCAATAATAAAAAAGCAAAATCTCATTAAGAAGTTATCTAAGAACACGAACAGATAATTCTCAAAAGAAGACATACAAATGGCCAACTGGTATATAAAAAATGCTCAGCTTCACTAATCATCAAAGAAATGCAAATGGAAACCACAATGAGATATTATCTTACCCCAGTTAGAATAGCTGTTACTAAAAAGACGAAAACGAAAACAAAAACAGATGCTGGCAAGGACATGTGGAAGAAGGAACTCATCTGCACTGTTGGAGAAAATGTAAATTAGTACAACTCCTATTGGAAACAGTATGGATATTTCTCAAAAATCTAAAAATGATAAATGTAATCCAGTAATCCTACTACTGGGTATATGTTAAAAGAAAAGGGAATCAGTATTTTAAAGGGATACCTGCAGTCATGCTTACCATAACACTATTTGCAATAGCAAAGATATGGAATAAACTTGTGTCCAACAACAGAAGAATGTGTAAAGGAAATGTGGTATATATATATACAACAGAATACTACTCAACCATAAAAAAGAATAAAATCATATCATTTGCGGCAACACGGATGAAACTGGAGGCCATTATGTTAAGTGAAATAACTCAGGCACAGAAAGACAAATATCATATGTTCTCACTCATATGTGGGAACTAAAACCAGTGATATCATAAAGGTAGAAAGTTGACATCATAAAGGTACTAGAAGATGGGAAGGTGGGTTGGTAGGAGTAGGGATAAAGATAGGTAGATTAGTGGGTATAAACATAGATAAAAGATAGAAGTTCAATGGCTTGACAGCACAGTTAGTATAGTTAACAACAATGTATTGCATATTTCAATGTAGCTAGAAGAGAGGACTTGAATTGTTTCCAACGTATAGAAGTGACAATACTTAAAGTGTTGGACACCTCAAAAAGCCTGACTTGATCATTACACATTCTAGGCATATAATGAAATATTACATATGCCTCATAAATATGTAAACTAATATGTATCAATTAAAAAAAGAGAATCATAGAAGAGAAAAAGGGTAAATGAATAGGTAGTCTGACATTAAATTATATATTTTTGGAGTTCACCACATGTAAGCTCCATTAGAGTTGGAACCTCCTTGGTGTATTCATGTTGGTATGCCAGTGCCTATAATAGGGTGCAGGTAACGTAGGCAATTAATACGTAGTTATGCAGTGTTGAGTGAGTACTATTTCTCTTGATGAGTGATATAAAGGTAAGAGATTTTCAACTGAGTGATTTTTTAAAACAGGAAATTTGCTTATTTGGTCAAATAATTATTTAGTGTTTTCTATCCTTAATTGTTGGTCTGCAATTGTGGGCCTCAACTCTGCAGTCATTCTTTGTGTACCAATGTAGTGCTCTGAAAAATCTTCATTAATTATTATTGTCTTACCATTCTCTGGTATTCCTGCTAATCAATGATTATGATGACAACAGTTCAAAGTGCCCAACTTTTACGGAGAATGCCAAGAAGAAATCTTAGTGTGACATGGGATCACATTTTATCTGTAAGTATTCTTAGAGGGCTTGGTAGATACTTTGTTGACAAAGAAAGAAAGGTAAGAGAAAAAAACACAAACTTAGACACAGAAACATAAAAATAGAATCAGAATTTTAGAGTAGGAAGGAAGCATGAGGAGCACATTCCATAGCAACAGAAGCTGATGCTGCTTGTGTCCTTAGAGGTTATCCAGGCCTTTGTTTTACAGGTGAGATAATTGAAACTGGAACTCAAAGTTTACGTGATCTACCTAAGTTTACAAAATAATTAGCTTGTCCCAAAACGGAAATGAGAATTAGAATATTCTGTTCTCCTTAAGGGAAATCCATTTGCAACATCGTCCACTCAGCTTTACTTTTTCACATTATTTTGTGCCAGTGAAATGTCTTTTTTGTAGGTAAGCTCTCACTACACAAAGTGTTCATCCAGGAGGAAGGAGCACTTTGAGTTGAGGAGGATCTTAATTTATCATAAAAGAGTTAAGCTATTTCTGGAATGAAATGAATGCAGTATTGAAAAAAATGTAAGAAAAAATTCAACTGTAGTCTGTTTTAAACAAAGCATTAAATAATAGACCTGTTTTTCAAACACAATACATGTTGTGTGTGATAGAAATACATGTGGGCTATGTATGTTGTAGAGAAAAATAGGCCACAATGTCTTTTCAAGTGACTTCAGGCATTATTTTTTAAAGACAAAATCTAAATAAAGATATTAATGAAAAGCATTCATGTCCTCTGCACTTGGAGGTTGTTTGATTATACATCTAGGGCTGTTATTACTCTCTTTTAAAGAAGGATTGCAAGATTAACCATATGCAACTTAACAAATATATATGAGTTTATTTTAAAAATGATTTAGATATTAATACAAATCAACAGTTTATATGTCCTAGGCTCATGACAGAATCTTGAAATGAAAATGTGTTTTTTGAGACTTTACTCACCCAACACACTTCTGGATTTCTGGTCGTCTGGGATAGTCTTCTGAGGACAACATTTTTTCATGAATAGGAAACAAACCTCCAATTATGATATGTCCTGGAGAAGTGGCAGCCACAAAGTCATCAGGGGTCTGGCAAGGCTGTGAAGTAGTAAGAATAATCACAAAGCAGGTAATTAGTGTAATTAATAATGCCATGTTTCTATCTCATTTGCTCAGTTCATGTGAGTTCTTAGGAATCATTAAGCACACAGAGTGCCAACAATGTTCCTATTTCACCTGTAAACACCTTGTAAGGTATAGGACAGTGTCAAGGGCCAGAAACACTCAGTATTCAGATATTTGATGATAGTCAAAACAGTTATTTCACCAATAAGAACATAGACTTTTTAATACTCCAGTGTTAGAGATAATGTGATTGCAGTCATGTGATGTAAAAGCTGATAGAATTATAAACATAAGTCTCACTGTAATGGTACTTTTTTACTCCAGTGACATGTCAAGGGCTCTGAGTCACGCTGGCATTTCTTTTGAAGCAGAATGTAGAACTTTCAGGAAGAAGCAGTTTGGAGAAGTTTTCCACTTTAGAAATGGGTAGTTCTGCATTTCCAAAAGGCATCACATTGAAAACACAAATAATGTAATATAGTTTATCAGCTGTTTAGAAGAAAACCATCCTGCTTTTATTTTTCCTGAAAAGCTCTACTTAAAAACTGAAATTCAGTTAAATTTAGGTATTTGTCACTTCTACATTAGATATTTGTCACTTCCACTTTCCCTGTGTTAGAAATAAGTAGCTTTTGTGAAGACGAGTAAAACTAAAAGCAAGATGAAACTTGTCTGATACAGTATTTTGCTTTGAACAAGAAAGGTCTGTTCATATATCATTAACATTTCCACTATTGTGAGTGCCGTATTTTCATACATTTGGGACTAACTTCAGGCTACATATTCTTAAATACTTAGGAATTTGAACTAACATAATTTGATGGGTACATTTTGGAATTTAATAGAGGATAGAGGAACCTCAATCATGTAGGCACCATTAAGAAAAATTTTAGTTTTAAGATTTATTTCATAAAATTAATCTTTTAGAAATATTTTATTAAAAATGAATATCTCATGGGCAAACAGTTTCAAATCCAATACATCCAGTTTGTTTGATGGGTAGCAGATACATTTAAAGAAATTTCAAAAAATAAAAGAGTACAATGGCCACTGTGGCATTTTTCTCATTATCCAAATTAGCCTTAGATTCCATGGTCCTCTGGGGTTATGCCAGCTGAGGAGTGGAGAAGTCACAGCTCATCACACAGCTTCAAATGTTTTCTTAAGCCTTACCATTTTTACTAATGGCGAAATTTTCTATTAGGATGAAAACCAGTTAACTTCAGTTACCCAGAAAATTTAACAAACATACATGAGTTTGAAGACCCCTGAAATGTTTAGCCATTACATTTTACTCATCTTAATCTTATTATTTATTGGTATAGGATGGATTTATATTTTCATGAATTTAGTTACTTTGCTCAGATAACCTCAAAGGTCTTATGTAGCTACAAGTTCAAAAATGATTTTGGGAAAACTAAACTGAAAAATGAGAAATCCAGATCATTCCCAGCAAAATTGTAGTAAGTGTTAAGCAACTCAGAGTGATTCTGAAGATACATTGTTCAGATGACATATATTTGAAACATCAATGACAAAAGTTATACCAATAATGCCTTTTAGGTTGCAATTTAACAATATTTAGGGTCTTTGTAATCTGCAAAATGTAAAGATAAAGCATATTTTAAAATTTTGATGAATATAATCTAAGTTTGAAGAGCTGTCTTTAAAGGAGCCTCTGAAGATAAGAAAACAAAAGATCTAAAAAGCCCTTTGCCCTGTAAAATGCAGTATCATGTGGCAGAAAGGGATCAAACTTTGGAAGCAGATAGACCTGGGTGGCTCTGCCCACTGCTTAGCTGTGTGATGCTGAATGAGTTACTTTAATTCTTTGAAAAATAATTTTCTCGTCTATAAAAGAGTTAAGATACTCTTAACAAATATGTTGTGAGATGAGCTGGTTTGATATGCAAAACTCCTGTACTCTAGTAATCACTGAAAATTAGTTTCCTTTCCTCTTCCCCTTCCCCAAACTAGAAGTTATCATTTCCTAAATTTGTAGTGCTTTTTTCTTTTTCTTTCTTTTTTTTTTTTTTTTTGAGACGGGGTTTCGCTTGTGTTGCTCAGGCTGGAATGCCATGGCACAATCTTGGCTCGCTGAAACCTCCACCTCCTGGGTTCAAGCGATTTTCCTGCCTCACCCTCCAAACTAGCTAAGATTACGAGCATACACCACCATGCCTTGCTATTTTTTTGTATTTTTAGTAGAGACAAGATTTTACTATGTTGACCAGGCTGGTCTTGAACTCCTAACCTCAGGTAGTCTGCCCACCTCAGACTCCCAGAGTGCTGGGAGTACAGGCATGAGCCACTGCACCTGGCTAAATTTGTAGTGCCTTCTACAGCTGGCTAAATCATTGTTCAAAGATTTTTCTCAAGCGTTGAATGCATGGTAGAAATGACTTTTGTAATTGTTCTATTAGCTGGTTGTTTTCACGTTGGAATGCAAATCCATTGTTAAGTTAAACTTGAAGGAAGATATAGAATATGTTAATTACTTTAGAATTCCACTAGAAACATTATTGTCACTCCTGTAGTTTCTATTATGAGGGACAGAACTTTCAGCCATAATTTAGAATGTAAAGTTAGTACATTTTTTTCTATCTAAAAACCCTTATAAATGACAGTAGTAACTACTTCTATTCCAAAAGATTATGATTCTTATGTTAAGTAACTATTTCTTGAGGGTAAAACCTCTTAAAATTTTTGAGATATGAATTACTGGTGGGACTAGCTTATTACTCCTTTTGATCTCAAGATTTTATGTTTCTTTGTAACTAACCTTATGTGGAGGAGTATCTGGTTAAAATAACCTAGAGGGAAGTATGAAAGCATCACTCCCCAAGTAATGCTCAGAATGATACCATTATCTTGATTGGATAAGCATAGTAGGAAAATACAATCAATGATTAAAGATACTTTATTCTAAAATGACGAGTTTGTAGCACTGAAGCTGGGATGGCTTTTCCAGTGATGAAAGGCTGCAGTGAAGATTGGATCCAGCTGGAAATGATTCTCCAGGAGCAGGGGCAGGAAATACCACATTCGCACTCAAGAAAGCCCTGAAGTGAGTGAGGTTTGACACGTTTCTTATTTTAACATTTTAGTTTTCTCTCATGTTATCCCAGCTTCCCACTCAGCCTCTTCATTGCACACCAGTCTTTCATACTTCATTGAGTTTCATCCTAACAATGACACTACAAAATTATTTTCAGTGCTATTTGCATCTGCAATAAAGCTTTTAAAACAGAAACGTCATCAAGATTAAAGGAATAAATTTAAAACAATGCAATTTCCGTTGTCTGCAAGAGGAGTCGAGGGAGGTAGAGTGTCACAGGGGCTCACAGGGGATCTTTGGTCCACACTAGGCAGGCAGCTGACCATGCTGCTGCATACAGAGCCAGCCTGATGGAACAGGTTAGAGTGTGGCCTCTGGAAGGAAAGAAGCTGACACCAATAATATAAGGGTAGATGCCAGTATCTATAGCCTAGGGGCAAAATAAACAGAACTTAAGAATGACTTCTGACCCATCATTCTATATTGTCAATCTACTTCAAGGTCTTTTTTTTTTTTTTTTCAATTTAACAATATTTAGGGTCTTTGTAATCTGCGAAATGTAAAGATAAAGCACATTTTAAAATTTTGATGAATATAATCTAAGTTTGAAGAGCTGTCTTTAAAGGAGCCTCTGAAGATAAGAAAACAAAAGATCTAAAAAGCCCTTTGCCCTGTAAAATGCAGTATCATGTGGCAGAAAGGGATCAAACTTTGGAAGCAGATAGACCTGGTTGGCATTTTTTTTCAGGGTGGCATGAACAAAAATATATTTAAAACAAGCAGGTTTTCAAAGCACAATTATACATATAATTCATCAACATTAAATTTGAATGCATTTTTTTTCCTGCTTGTAGTGTGCTTCTCTTTCACAATAATTCCTTATCAAGAAGTCACAACAGGAGAGATTGTACCCTTAAGAATACAACCATAAGCACTGAGTTACGAATCCCATGATTGGACACGTTCAACTGGGCTCTCTTGTGTTAATAGCTTACAAGTTTATTTAATCTTCCCATTATTTTCTAATTTTTCACGTGCTTACTATTACCTCTTCAACTATATCAAAGCTTTTAGAAGACTGAGATAAAAGTTTTATACTTTTTTGTATATCTCATAGTTCAAATGGCAGGCTTTTTTATCAGGACACAAACCAGTAAACTTCAGTTGTCCTGAAAGTTTAACAAACATATGTGAGTTTGAATACTCTTTAAATATTTTGCAATTACGTATTATTATAATCTTATCATTTACTTGTATATGTCTGCATTTAATTACATTACAAATATATTGCTCAGTTTGATTATCTTAACAAATCATCAACAAGCTTATAGTAGCTATAGTTCTCACTAGATATGATCAACAGCTTTTACAGTCTGTTGCTATTATCATTTACCCAAGAAAATAAAAATAACAATTTATATTGCTTAGTAAGCATTGAATGCTAGAAGGATATCACTACACCTTAAATAAAGAGTTCAATAAAACCTCTTTTAGAGGTAAAATTACAAAGAAAAGGCCTAAATCCCCACTGGGCTCCGCTGGGTGCATAGCTAAGAAAGTTATTTCATTTAGCTGAATTCCAAATATATCACAAAAGAAAGATCGGTTCTTAACAAGGTCATAAAATAACTAAGTCAGATTTTGGTCCTCTTGCATTCTTTCTCTCACCACGTACCGTGTTTCTCTGTACTTACCCACCTGGCTTAGTATTCCATCACTGTACTATTTAATATTGAACTATGCTTGATTACTGTAACATTCTGCTTCATCCTACTCCATTTTCTTCTCCTGCTGTACCCTTGTCTGTAATTTAGATCTCCCCAAGAATTTTTATTTAATATGTAATTAATTTTCTTTAGTGGGCAGCACAGAGGATTTTATCTGACTTAGGAGACCCTAGGAGGTCTATGGATGGACTTCATGAGAGTCTGTGAATCTTTTGAAATTGTATAAAAAGTTTTTAGTGAAGATACATATGTAGATTTTTCTGGGGAGAACATTCAGTGCTGTCATCAGATTATCAAAGGGTCATTTGGCCC